TACTCTGGTCATAAAATATATGAAGAACGGTTGCTGGAATTGGGTATGTCCTGTTTAATGAAGAGAAGGACGAGGAGGGACATTATAACAACGTTCTAATATCTCAGGGGCTGCCCCAAAGAAGAGGGAGTCAAAGCTCTTCTCCAAAGCGCCTGAAGGCAGGAGAAGAAGCAACGGGTGGAAACTAACCAAGGAGAGAAGCAACCTGGAACTAAGGAGAAACTTCCTGACAGTGAGAACAATTAACCAGTGGAACAACCTGCCTCCAGAAACGGTGAATGCTCCATCACTGGAGTTTTTAACAAAGCGATTGGACAGCCATTTGTCTGAAATGTTACAGGATCTCCTGCCTGAGCAGGGGGTTGGACTAGAAGACCTTCAAGGTCCCTTCCAGCTCTATTATTCTGCTATTCCTCCTGGAGGGCCTTTGGAGCAGGCACCTCATTCGAATCCTGCTCAAAGAGAAGCGCTGAGGGCCTTTTCTCTACTTGTCAGTTCTTTGAAGAGTTGTTAACACCCACCCACACACCCGTCCTAGGTCATCCCAGGATTACAAACTAAACACTTGCTTCATTGCGCTTGTGTTGACAAAATGGAGCTCAGGCAGCTTCGCCTTAGCCTTATGCTAAGCAAAATGTGGTTAATCTAATCTGTAGTTGCTTTGATTTGGATATGGCGTGGTGGTGCACACCCAGTTCCTTTTTATTTTTGCATTGTTTGTGGAATTATGCGCACCCGGAAAATGAATTTGTTCAGGAGCAATGTTAAGCCTGTTTTGATGAAACCGAATGTAGAAAGTCCTTGATCTCCTATGGCAGACATGTCAAACACAAGGCCTGGGGGCCGGATGCGGCCCGCGAAGTAATAATAATAATAATAATAATAATAATAGTAGTAGTAGTAGTAGTAGTAGTAGTAGTAGTAGTGGTAAAGTTGGAAGGGACCTTGGAGGTCATCTAGTCCAACCCCCTGCTCAGGCAGGAAACCCTACACCAGTGGTTCTCAACCTGTGGGTCGGGACCCCATTTGGGGTCGAACGACCATTTCACGGGGGTCTCCAAACAAGGCTGTCCGCCATTTTTTTCCCTTTTTCTTTGGCCACGCCCCTGGCACCCGGTGATGTATAAGTGGTTGGGGGTCACCACAACATGGGGAACTGTATTATGGGGTCGCGGCATTAGAAAGGTTGAGAACCACTGCCCTACACCATTTTGGACAAATGGCTGGCCAGTCTCTTCTTAAAAACTTCCAGTGTTGGAGCATTCCCTGCTTCTGGAGGCAGGTTGGCCCATGAAGCTATCCTGGAAACAGTGAGGGAACGGCCCCCGCTGCCTTGGCCCTGGCCCAGGCCGGTCAGGAGCCAATGTACAATTTTGTGGTGGCCATCTTGGCACTTGCCCCGGTGGACCATGCCTTGGCGCTTGCCCTGGTCCCCCTCCACCTTCTGCCAGAGACCCTCAGATCTGTCCCACTCCTGCCCAGGCCCCCCATAGGCACCCTTGACAAGAAATGATGTAGAACTGGCCATGCCCACCCAGTAGGCCACACCCACTCCATCCACGCCCACCCAGTAGGCTGCACCCACTCTGGCCACACTCACCTGCCCCCCCCCGAGCAACCGCAATCCTGATGCGGCCCTCAGTGAAATTGAGTTTGACACCCCTGTCCTATGGCAAGAAGGCTAAAGAGAAAGGTCTTAAGAATAATTTTCTATAAGATGGGAAATATGAAAATACTAAGCGGCCTAGGCCTAGGGCAGGGGTTGGCAACCATGGCTTTTTTATGACTCGTGGACTTCAACTCCCAGAATTCCTGAGCCAGCATGGGGGAACTGTGGCCGCTTCATGACTTGTGGACTTCAACTCCCAGAATTCCTCAGCCAGCATGGGGGAACTATGGCCCCTTCATGACTTGTGGACTTCAGCTCCCAGAATTCCTGAGCCAGCATGGGGAACTATGGCCCCTTCATGACTTGCAGACTTCAACTCCCAGAATTCCTCAGCCAGCCTGGCTCAGCTTGGAATCCTCTCCCTTTCCCCTCAGCATGGCTGGCTCAGGAATTCTGGGGGTTGAAGTCCACCAGTCATAAAAGGGCCAAGTTTGAAGACCCCTGAGTTATACTAATATCGAAGAAATAGTGGAATAGAATCATGAAAGAAAGAAAGCCAAAAATGAAATGTGAAGGGCCCAAAAATAATTTTTTTATTTTTTTTAAATAATTGAATTGGCGAGTTGTCGCTTGGCAAGTTGGCTGTGGCAAGTTTCCTATTCCAATTGTATTGTGGTGAAACTGAATGAAATGTTTAAGTGTTTAGATGGATAAAGATGAGAAATCTCAGACAGCACCCCATAGATTTCCCCAAACTCAATAGGGAATGGCCTAGGTCAGAGGTAGGCAACCTTGGCTCTTTTATGACTCGTGGACTTCAGCTCCCAGAATTCCTGAGCCAGCATGGGGGAATTATGGCCCTTTCATGACTTGCAGACTTCAACTCCCAGAATTTCTCAGCCAGCGTGGGGGAACTATGGTCCCTTTATGACTTGCGGACTTCAACTCCCAGAATTCCTGAGCCAGCATGGCTCAGCTTGGAAACCTCTCCCTTTCCCCTCAGCACGACTGGCTCAGGAATTCTGGGAGTTGAAGTCCACCAGTCATAAAAGAGCCAAGGTTGCCTACCCCTGGTATAAGGGAAGCTTTTAGTTACCCAAGTGTAATATGAGAAAAATGATAATTGATAAAGCTATTTTGAATATTGATGGGAAATTAAAATTGAAAAAAAAGAGAGAAAAAAAAGGATACGGATTAAATGCCAATACATTTGAGATATGTCTTGGCTAGAGAAGATGCTATAAACTGATATTATTGACACTATTTATAACATTAGAACATGTGATGAATATGTTTATATTTAATTATATAGGTATTAATAGCAGTAAGAATTATACTTGCATAGTGGGGGGAAATGCCTGAGCAGGGGGTTGGACTAGATGACTCCCAAGATCCCTTCCATCATCATCATCATCATCATTATTATTATTATTACTATTGGAAGAGGAGAGGATCAGGGAAATACTGGATGGTGTAGTATTGGATATTTTGAGTGAAAGTTAATATATACCACAGAATAATAAAGGAACCCAGGTGCCGAGTTGTTTATTAAGTACTTACAATTGTAAAACTTGAAATTAATAGAATATTTACAAAAAAGAGAGAATGGTCTAAGAGCCAAGTCAACTCTCCTGCAGCTGTGAGCCAGCAGGCAGAAATCAGCCAGGTTGTTTCCAGATCCGTCCGACATCATTTATTTGTTGGTTGGTTGGTTGGTTCTATGTTTGTTTGCTTTCTTATCCCATCTTTACTATTTGTATAAGTAACCCAAGGTGGCAAATATCCATAATGCTCCTTCCTCTGCCTATTTTCCTCACAATAACAAGCCCCCTGTGAGGTGGGCTTGGGCTGAGAGAGAGGGATTGGCCCAAAGACACTCACTTGGTTTTCATGCCTAAGGCAGGACTAGAACTCACCGTCTCCTGGCGATTGACCCAAAGACACTCAACCATCCTTCGTGCCTGAGGCGGGACTAAGACTCATCATCTCTGGGTGATTGGCTCAAAGTCAGCCAACCATCCATTGTGCCTGAGGCAGGCCTAGAACTCACCGTTTCCTGGTGATTGGCCCAAAATCACCCAGCGGGTTCCTAAAGTGGAACTAGAACTCATTGTCTCCCAGCTGGCTTCCATGCCTAAGGTGGGACTAGAACTCACCTTCTCCTACTGATTGGTCCAAGGTCACCCAGCCAGCTTTCATGCTCACCTAGTTTCCAGACTTAAAATAGAACTAGAACTCACCGTCTCCTGGTGATTGGCCCAAAGTCACCCAGCTGGCTTCCATGCCTAAGGTAGAACTAGAATTTATTGTCTCCTGGTGATTGGCCCAAAGTCACCCAGCTGGCTTCCATGCCTAAGGTAGAACTAGAATTCATTGTCTCCTGGTGATTGCCCCAAAGTCACGCAGCTGGCTTTCATGCTCACCTAGTTTTTAGACCTAAGGCAGGACTAGAACTCCCAGTCTCCTGGTGATTGGCCCAAAGTCACCCAGCTGGGTTCCATACCTAAGGCGGAACTAGAATTCATTGTCTCTTGCTGATTGGCCCAAGGTCACCCAGCCGGCTTTCATGCTCAGCTAGTTTCCAGACTTAAGGCGGAACCAGAATTCATTGTCTCCTGGTGATTGGCCCAAAGTCACCCAGCTGGCTTCCATGCCTAAGGTGGAACTAGAACTCACCATTTCCTGCTGATTGGCCCAAGGTCACCTAGCTAGCTTTGATGCTCACCTAGTTTCTAGACCTAAGGCAGAACTAGAACTCACCGTCTTCTGGTGATTGGCCCACAGGCACCCAGCCAGCTTCCATGCCTAAGGCGGGACTAGAACTCACCATCTGCTGTTGATTGGTCCAAAGGCACCCACCCAGCTTCTGTGCCTAAGGCGGGACTAGAACTCACCGTCTGCTGTTAATTGGCCCATAGGCACCCAGCCGGCTTCCATGCCTAAAGCGGGACTAGAACTCACCATCTCCTGGTCTCTAGGCAGCCCCTGAACCCCTGCTCCAAACTGGCTCTCCTCTGTTCCCATCATCCTCCGCCATCACGCTCAGGGAGATTCGTATAACGTTTGGTTCCACTTCTGGAAGGAAAGGCAAAACGGCAGAGAACAAGACCGTCGCGATCCTGGCACTAATCCATTAATTCAAAATTGTCCTCTTCTCAATTAGAGGAAATTGGAAAGATAATAATCCACCTAGTGCAGTGTTTCTCAACCTTGACAATTTTAAGGCATGTGGACTTCAACTCCCAGAATTCCACAGCCAGCAACGCTGGCTGTGGAATTCTGGGAGTTGAAGTCCACATGCCTTAAAATTGTCAAGGTTGAGAAACACTGACCTAGTGATAACAGTTTAATTACTCTGGCATTTACGGCTCTGCTTTCTTCTTTGCTCCAGGTTGGAAGATGAAGCCGCTTCCTGCAGCGGCAGAGAGACTGGTGCTCCGCGGTGCTCAAATTCCCGTCCTCCGACACGCAGCGGGAAGAGGCCCAGCCTTTCGTGTAAGTCTTGAGTTCGAGCAGCTCCAAGATTACATCCCCAAAGATGTCCTGCTCCTCCGGGGAAGCTTGGCTTTGAAGGATCTATCTAACCCAGTGGTTCTCAACCTTTTTAATGCTGCGACCCCCCCCCAACCGGTCGTAAGTCGAGGACTACTCAACCGGTCGTAAGTCGAGGACTACTCAACTGGTGCAGCACCGTTTGCAGAATGGGACTTTGGGCGGGCTCAGCAGGGCAGAGACAGCCTTGACAATTCCTATTGGCTTTTGAAAGCCAATAGAATTAGACTCTATTCAAGAGAGTCTATTCTATTGGCTTTCAAAAGCCAATAGAATAAAAGGGAGTAGCACAGCTAAGGAAAAGGGGGGGAAAATGGCGGACTGCGTTGTTTGGCGACCCCCGTGAAATGGTCGTTCGACCCCAAATGGGGTCCCGACCCACAGGTTGAGAACCACTGATCTAACCCAAATTTTAAAATGGGCTCCGATGGCAATCTTTTTACGGCACAGGCGGTCCTCGTCTTATGAGCACAGTTGAGCCCCAAATTTCCGTCGCCAAGCAAGACAGTTGTTAAATGAGCTTTGCCCCATTTTACGACCTTGCTTTCCGCAGTTGTTAAGTTGTTCAGTTATAACATGGTTGTTAAGTGACTCTGGCTTGTCAAAGGTCGCCCAAGGGGATCACGTGACCTGGGGACACGGTGATCGTCATAAATACGAGACAGTTGCCGAGAGTCCAGATTTTGATCCCCTGACGCTGTGGGGATGCTGCAACCAGCCATAACTGGGAAACGGCCGTAAGTTGCTTTTTTCCGGTGCCGTTGTAACTTTGAATTGTCACTAAAGGAATGGTTGTAAGGCAAGGACTATGTGTAGTCTGTCCAGTGGTTTCTAGCCGGTTGCTTCTGTGTCGCTCTAGAACAGTGGTTCTCAACCTTTTTAATGCCGCGATCCCCCCCCCAACCGGTCGTAAGTCGAGGACTACTCAACCGGTCGTAAGTCGAGGACTACTCAACTGGTGCAGCACCGTTTGCAGAATGGGACTTTTGGCGGGCTCAGCAGGGCAGAGACAGCCTGGACAATTCCTATTGGCTTTGGAAAGCCAATAGAATAAAAGGGAGCAGCACAGATAAGGAAAAGGGGGAAAAAATGGCGGACTGCGTTGTTTGGCGACCCCCATGAAATGGTCGTTCGACCCCAAATGGGGTCCTGACCCACAGGTGGAGAACCACTGCTCTAGAAGCAGGAATGGTAAATTCTGGGTAAAAGTAGTCAATTCGAATTCAGTGTTGGGGGGGGAAACCCTACAACCTTGCAGGAAAAACGGCGGACAGAGAGGGAATAAGCTCCCTTTTATTCAGCGTGTCGTACCGAGGCTAAACAGTTGCACATTGAGAATGCTTTAACTGAGTTAAAGTGGGGGTGGACCGGATGACCTCCCTGGCCTTATCCTACTGTAGATCTCATGATTCTACGCTGGAAAGAATCAGGAGACTGCCTTCGGTTTCCCGCCCTGCCTCGTCGAACTGCCGATGTAAATTTATTTAATTACTTATTTTTTATTTTATTATTTTGTTGTTTTTTTTAATTTAAATATTACGTTTTTATTTATTTTAATTTATTTTTATTTTATCTTATTTTATTTTATATAATAATAATGATGATGATGATGAAGAAGAAGAAGTTGGAAGTGACCTTGGAGGTCATCTACATGGGGCTACCCTTGAAAAGTATTCGGAGACTACAGTTGGTCCAGAATGCAGCCGCGCGAGTGATAGTGGGTGCTCCTCGATACACCCACGTTACACCTATCCTCCGCGAGCTGCACTGGTTGCCTATCGGTCTCCGGGTCCAATTCAAGCTGTTGGTTATTACCTTTAAAGCCCTATATGGCTCAGGGCCAGGCTATTTGCGAGACCGCCTACTACCTCATAGTTCCCTTCCTCCGGTTAGATCCCACAGGCTGGGCCTCCTTTAGGTCCCGTCGGCCAAGCAGTGCCATTTGGCGGGGCCGCGGAGGAGGGCCTTCTCTGTGATGGCACCCACGTCTTGGAACCAGCTCCCCCCGGAGATTAGGACCGCTCCCACCCTGTTGGTTTTCCGTAAGCTGCTTAAGACCTGGCTTTTCCGGCAGGCCTGGGGTTTATAAAACCTGACCCCTGGATGACTGTTCTTGTACTGTTTGTTTTGTTATGTTTTATGGTGTTTTTATTGTTAGCCATCCAGAGTCCTCCGAGAGTGGGGCGGCTTATACATTTTAAAAATAAAAATAAATAAATAAATAAAATCTAGTCCAACCCCCTGCTCAGGCAGGAAACCCTATCCCATTTCAGACAAATGGCTGTCCAGTCTCTTCTTAAAAACTTCCAGTGTTGGAGCATTCATCGCTTCTAGAGGCAGGTTGTTCCACTGGTTAATTGTTCTCACTATCAGGAAGTTTCTCCTTAGTTCTAGATTGCTTCTCTCCTTGCTCAGTTTCCATCTGTTGCTTCTTGTTCTGCCTTCAGGGGCTTTGGAAAATAGCTTGACTCCCTCTTCTTTGGGGCAGCCCCTGAGATATTCAAAGTTGCTATCATGTCCCCCCCCCCCTCGTCCTTCTGTTTATTTTATTTTATTGTTTTGTTTTATTTTATTTTTAATTTAATTTAATTTAATTATTTTATTTTATTATTTTATTTTATTATTTTATTTTATTTTATTATTTTCTAAATGTACACAAGAGTCTATGTCAGAAAAACGGACTCTGGGCAGGTTCCAAGCAGAATAAACAAAACCCACTCAACGATAGAAAAACATTACACTTCGGTAAGAACAGAAATAAAAACAGAAAGGAATAAAAACGTAAAACAATCCTAAGGTTAGCAAGAAGATAGCCTTTTTTCTTTCTTTTAAATGGGCATCCGCCCAAAGTCACTGACTGAAATGGGCGGCTATAGAAATTGAATGAATGAATGAATGAATGAATGAATGAATGAACCTAAGTCAGCCATTTTCCCGGCTTGCCATAGATCTCGGGGCTGATGAAAGAAACATTTGCAAAGTTTTCTGCAAGGCTAACAAAAACCAGATTCTCACCTCAGAGGAGGGGATGTTCCAGACGGTTATAGCAGATTTAGTACAGGCAGTCCTCCGCTTACGACCGCGTTAGAGCTTCTGTGGCTCTAAAAACTTCACAGCTTCTGGAGGTGATGTTTGGCACCTGGTTCGTACTTACGACCGTTGCTGTGGCTCAAGGCCACGTGATCACCCTTCCGCGGCTTTCTGACAAGCAAAGCCAATGGGGACGCCATTTTCACGTAACAACTGGGTTACTACCTTATCAACTGCAGTCTGCAGCGATTTACTTAACCGCTGTGGCAAAGAAAAAAGGTCATAAAATGAGGCAAAACTCACTTAACAAATGTCTCGCTTAAGAACAGAAATTTTGGGCTCCGTTGCGGTCGTATGTCGAGGACTGCCTGTGTAGTTTAAGCAAGAGTCTAGAACTGCACTAGATATTAATGGCATCACAGCGAAGGAAAAATGGCTGCGTCCTCATAGACCAGTGGTTCTCAACCTGTGGGTTGGGACCCCATTTGGGGTCGAACGACCATTTCACGGGGGTCGCCAAACAACGCCGTCCGCCACTTTTTTCCCCCTTTTCCTTAGCTGTGCTACTCCCTTTTATTCTATTGGCTTTTGAAAGCCAATAGAATAGACTCTCTTGAATAGAGTCTAATTCTATTGGCTTTCAAAAGCCAATAGGAATTGTCCAGGCTGTCTCTGCCCTGCTGAGCCCGCCAAAAGTCCCATTCTGCAAACGGTGCTGCACCAGTTGAGTAGTCCTCGACTTACGACCGGTTGAGTAGTCCTCGACTTACGACCAGTTGGGGGTCGTGGCATTAAAAAGGTTGACAGCCACTGTCATAGATGGTGGCTCCTACTTTTCGTAACGTAGTCCTCGACTTACAACTCTTTATTTGGCAGCTGTTCGAAGTTACAGCAGCCCTGAGAAAAGTGACGTAGAGCACATCCTCGTACTTACGACCATTGCAGCTGCATCCATGTTCACACGATCAGAATTGGGGCGTTTGGCAACTAACATGTATTTACGACGGTTGCCATGCAACCTTCTCAATTGGCTTCCGACAAGCCAAGTCAACGGAGGATGCCTGATTTGCTTAACAGCCACTGATTCATTTAACGACCGCAGCGATTCACTCATCCAACGTGGCCAAAAGGCCGTAAAATCAGGGCCGACTTTCTTAACGACTGCAAGGGAATCGTTAATCAAATGTGGCCAAAATCAGGTGTGTGACTCCCTTTAACGCCTGCCTCCCTTAGCGATGGAAATCCTGGTCCCCATTCTAGTTGTAAACTAAGGACTCCCTGTAATGCGTACGTTTATTGGAGTTAACGACGGTTAAGATTTCAACCATGTTTGTGGTGCTCAACTTCGGAGAATTTGTATGTCTTAGGATTAAACTTCAAGGACAGGCGTGAGTAGCTCAATAAGAAAAATACACAACATATTTTAAAATGTCCATTCCCCCCCCCCCCAAAAAAAAATGACAGTTGAAAGCGAAGCTTCTGGAACATCTTTGAGGCATCTTGGAGCTGACCCGGATGTCCAGTCGGTTGCTGAAGTTCTGATTCTCCACTCCCCCGGTTCTTCCCAAGACAGTGGAAACACGTTGCCAAACAGGTCCGTAAGTAGCGGGTGGTTTCCCCACTCTTCAAACTTGGTAACTTTTAAGACTTGTGGACTTCAACTCCCAGAATTCCTCAGCCAGCCTTTGTGGGCTTCAGCTCCCAGAATTCCAGTATTTGAGGGCCTGCCACCAAGAAATGGGGAGGGGGTGTGTGTCAAATTATTCTCCAAAGGACCAGAGGGCAGGACAAGAAGCAATGGTTGGAAACTGACCAAAGAGAGAAGCAACCTGGAATTAAGGAGAAACTTCCTGACAGTGAGGACAATCAACCAGTGGAACAGCTTGCCACTGGAAATCGTGGAATCTTCCTTAGTTCCAGGTTGCTTCTCTCTTGGTGAGTTTCCATCCGTTGCTTCGTGTCCTGCCTTCAGGCGCTTTGGAGAAGAGCTTGACTCCCTCTTCTTTGGGGCAGCCCCTAAGATATTGGAACACGGCTATCATGTCACCCTTAGTCCATCCATTAAACTAGAGATACCCAATTCCAGCAACCGTTCCTGATATGCTTCAGAAGTTTCTCCTTAGTTCCAGGTTGCTTCTCTCCTTGGTGAGTTTCCATCTGTTGCTTCTTGTCCTGCCCTCAGGGGCTTTGGAAGATAAGTTGACCCCCTCCTCTTTATGGCAGCCCCTCAAATACTGGAAGATTGCTGTCATGTTACCCCTGGTCCTTCTTTTCACTAGACTAGACATGCTTTATTCCTGCAATTGTTAACAGAATAACAGAGTGGGAAGGGATCTTAGAGGTCTTCTAGTCCAACCCCCTGCTCAAGCAGGAGACCGTATATACCATTTCAGACAAATGGCTGTCCAGTCTCTTCTTAAAAACTTCCAGTGTTGGAGCATTCACTGCTTCTGGAGGCAGGTGGTTCCACTGGTTAATGGTTCTAATGGTCTGGAAGTTTCTCCTTAGTTCCAGGTTGCTTCTCTCCTTGATGAGTTTCCATCTGTTGCTTCTTGTCCTGCCTTCAGGGGCTTTGGAGAATAGCTTGACTCCCTCTTCTTTGGGGCAGCCCCTGAGATATTGGAAGACTGCTATCATGTCCCCCCTTGTCCTTCTCTTCATTAAATTGGACATACCCAATTCCAGCAGCCGTTCCTTATATGTTTTAGCCTCCAGTCCCCTGATCATCTTTGTTGCTCTTCTCTGTACTCAACATCTCAACATCTTTTTTACATCGTGGTGACCAAAACCGGATGCAGTATTCCAAGTGTGGCCTTACCAAGGCCTTGTAAAGTGGTATTAACACTTCACATCATTTTGATTCTGTCCCTCTGTTGATGCAGCCCAGCATTGTGTTGGCTTTTTCGGCCGCTGCAGCACACGGCTGGCTCACACCTAAGTGATTATCCGCTAGAACTCCGAGATCCCTCTCACAGTTACTACTATTGAGCAGGGTACCCCCTATACTATACCTGTACATTTGGTTTTTCTTGCCTAAAATTTCTCCTTAGTTCCAGGTTGCTTCTCTCCTTGATGAGTTTCCATCCGTTGCTTCTTGTCCTGCCTTCAGGCGCCTTGGAGAATAGCTTGACTGCTGCTTCTTTGGGGTAGCCCCTGAGATATTGGAACACGGCTATCCTGTCCCCCCCTCGTCCTTCTCTTCATTAAACTACACATACCCAATTCCAGCAGCCGTTCCTTGTATGTTTTAGCCTCCAGTCCCCTTTGTTGCTCTTCTCTGCCTCTTTCCCTAGTCTAATCATTCTGCAAAGGAAAGAATGAATTCAGATCCCTCCGAGCAAAAGGGCGGACAGTTCAATAAATAGGATTTTTTTTTCCCCACTGATGTTTCCTCTTGGGTAACGGAAAGAGGAACTGTCATTTCAACGGCTAACCTTCATGAATCAGCACAACCAGAAGGGCCTGTTTACAAAACCCTCACTCTCAAAACGAAGATTAAAAGGGCAGGAGGTGGAACGGGGCGCTGCGTGCCAAGTGTAGGTTTTAATTATTATTATTTTTCCGCATCAGTGAAGTCCTTACGTTAAGATGGTAATTCCCATCTGCCACCTTCCTGTTTCCTTTTCGGGCTGGAAGGGAAAATCCACTGCTCACTCAGGCTGCAAGCCACAGGTGTGTGTTTTGCGTTTTGTGCTTCAGGTGGCCTCACTCTGAAAGAGACAGAAACCCCTGTACAAAAGTCCTCGGCTTACGGCCATTTGGTTCAGCGGCCGTGCAAAGTCGCAACGGGGCTGAAGAAAAATGACGTACGGCCGGATCTCCCGCTGATGACCCCACGGTGTGTTTGTGACGCTGGTGATTCCCCATTTGCCATCTTCCCAGCTGGCCTCCAACGTAGGCCGGATTCGCTTAGTGACTGCACGACCCACTTATCGCTTGCAGTGATTCGCTTAACGTCCGTGGCCAACATTGGATTCACTTAACAGCCGCCTGGCTTAATGATGAAAATGCTAGTCCCAGTTGTGGCCGTTAAGTTGAGGACCACCGGTAGTGTCCCACGCATCGTATCACACCATGCCGTTTGTGTGCTGGTATGTCTGGGCTATGTGCACCCTAAATATTTAACCAAGTTTGTGAAAGGCACTGTGGTTTCATTTGCGCAATAGAAAGAATTGGCTTCGGATTAATCTTGCTTAGCTTACGATATCGAAGAAGTAAACCTAACCAGTTTGTTTGATGGAAACTGATCAAGGAGAGAAGCAACCTAGAACTAAGGAGAAAGTTCCTGACAGTTAGAACAATTAACCAGTGGAACCACCTGCCTCCAGAAGCAGTAAATGCTCCAAGGCTGGAGGTTTTTAAGACGAGACTGGACAGCCATTGGTCTGAAATGGTATATAGGGTTTCCTGCCTGAGCAGGGGGTTGGACTAGATGACCTCCAAGGTCCCTTCCAACTTTATTATTATTAAAGTTGAAAATTATGTTAACCTCGAAAACAGTGGATTCTGCAACCGGATGTTCCCAACTGCTGCTTCAACCTGAAATCTAGTGTGTTTGCTGTGAAGTGTCAAAACCTCCCTTTCTGATTTCCTTCTCCAGGTTTTTGAACGATTTTTTATTAATCCATTTCCAAACAGACAGACACGCAGTCCAAATGAACGATTCATTGCATGCAAAAACCAAACAAGGAAGAATACAGGTAGCCCTCAACTTACAGCGGTTCGTTTAGTGGCTGTTCAGAGTTGCAGCGGCACCTGAAAAAGGGACTTATGGCCGTTTTTCACACTTCACGACCGTTGCGGCGTCGCGTGATCAAAATTCACAAACTCGGCAATTGACTCGTACTTACGACGGTCTCAGCGTCCCGGGGCGGGGTCACGTGATCCCCTCTTGCGAGCTTCTGACCAGCGAAGTCAACGGGGGAAGCCGGATTCGCTTAACGACCGTGTGACTTATTTAACAGCTGCAGCGATTCACTTAACGGACTGTGGCAAGGAAACTCGTAAAACGGGGCAAAGCTCACTTAACAGATGACTCACTTAACGACATAAATGTTGGGCTCGGCTGCGGTCGTACGTTGAGGGCTACCTGTGATGTTCTCGCTAGCTGAATTCACCCAATGTATCTTTTTCGATATTTTGGCTTTTGGACTTTCCAGTCTGTTCATTTATTTGGCCTAAAACGACCTCTGCTTTGGGCTTTGTGGCAGAGAAGGAAAGATGGTCCAGAAGGGTGTACAGGTGGTCCTCGACTTACGGCTACAATTGAGCCCCAAATTTCTGTTGCTAAGCAAGATAGTTGTGCATTTTGCCCCGTTTTACGACCTTACCTGCCACGGTTGTTAAGTGACTCACTGCAGCTGTTAAGTTAGTAACACGGTTGTTACTCTTAATAATAGTAATAAAGTTGGAAGGGACCTTAGAGGTCATCTAGTCCAACCCGCTGCTCAGGCAGGAAACCCTATACCATTTCGGACAAATGGCTGTCCAGTCTCTTTTTAAAAACTTCCAGTGTTGGAGTATTTGCCGCTTCTGGAGGCAGGTGGTTCCACTGGTTAATTGTTCTCACTGTCAGGAAGTTTCTCCTCAGTTCCAGGTTGCTTCTCTCCTTGATGAGTTTCCATCCGCTGCTTCTTGTCCTGCCTTCAGGGGCTTTGGAGAATAGCTTGACTCCCTCTTCTTTGGGGCAGCCACCAAGATATTCAAAGTTGCTATCATGTCCCCCCCTCGTCCTTCTGTTTATTTTATTTTATTTTATTATTTTATTTTTATTGTTTTTATTTTATTATTTTATTTTATTTGCGCAATAGGAAGAATTGACTGAGCTTGACTCCCTCTTCTTTGGGGCAGCCCCTGAGATACTGGAACACGGCTATCATGTCCCGCCTCGTCCTTCTCTTCCTTAAACTAGACATGCCCAATTCCAGCAATTGTTCTTTATATGTTTTAGCCTCCAGTCCCCTGATCATCTTTGTTGCTCTTCTCTGCCCTCTTTCTAGAGTCTCAACATCTTTTTTACATCGTGGTGACCAAAACTGGATGCAGTATTCCAAGTGTGGCCTTACCAAGGCCTAGTAAAGTGGTATTAATACTTCACGTGATCTTGATTCTATCCCTCTGTCAATGCAGCCCAGCACTGTGTTGGCTTTTTTGGCAGCTGCAGCACACGGCTGGCTCCTATTTAAGTGATTGTCCACTAGGACTCCGAGGTCCCTCTCACAGCTGCTACTTGACTTTGCTTGTCAGAAAGTTGCAGAAGGGGATCGTGTAATCCCGGGACACTGCAACGGTCATTAACAAGAGTCAGTTGCCGTATTGATCACGTGACCGTGGAAGATGCTGCAACGTCGTTAAGCGTGGAAAACGGTCATGTCCCTTTTTTACAATGGCATCGTAACTTTGAACCAGTCCCCAAATGAATCGTGGTTGCAGATCGTGGTTGTGGGGAAACTATCCACTTACCCCAGGAAAACAGGAACGCGTGAGAAAGAAACTCAAGATCGCTCTCTGTTGATTCTCTTTGGCACAGGAGGGAGGGAAGGGTGAAAACGGTCACGTCGCTTTTTTTTCCAGCGCCGTCGTAATTTCGAACGG